AAAAAAAAAAAAAGATAATTTGCTCTAAGTACGAGGAAATTTTCATTTCACATTTCATCAAAATTTTTTGACCTTATTTGCTCTCTCGATCGAAAGTAGGCTAACTTAATCGTATCCTCGACGAGAACAAGTTCTCCTTTCTTCACTGCGCTTATCCTCATTACAGGCGAGTATCTGCATGAGAATTTTCAATTTTCTCCGAAGTCACCGAAGTCAGATTGAGCATTACATTATCGACATATTAAATTAAACCGAGCTTTTAAATCTGATTTAATTTTTTGTAAATGTCACGATATTATCTTGGCAAAACAAATTGAATAATTATCAATTTTAGCTTGTAATAAGTGATAATAAATTTGGGAAATATTTCAAGAATTTTACGTTTAGTGACGAGTCAATAGATTGAAGCACTAAGAATGCTTCGAGGTTACTTAAAGCTATGTTTTACCATCTATGTATGTAGTAAATAATAAAGTAAAATATTGATGAAATTTTATCGTTAAAAGTATTTTTAATTTCTGCTATCATAATCTACACGACTATATAAATTAATCTTAATCGTATCAAGATTAGCATTTTATTTAATTAATTGTTTGCAACACAATGGAATTACACGAAGGAATTCATATCACTCATTATCTCTGTATATTTAACAAATATTTGACAAACATTTAAAGAACACCACCGAATGGAGCATACCCGTCTGGTAAGTTATAATGATCTAATTGATTTCGCGCCATATAATCGTTAAATGGCGCTAAAATGACATGACAGAGGAGAGTGTCACGTATGATCCAATCTGCATTAACCTTAATATTCAATCGTCTTGCCGCTAACTATATGTTGTTTGACTTTAATTTTTACTTCTTAATATCTCTTATAATATCTTTCTACTAAGACAATGAACAGTTCATTTCGATTAAATTATAAGAATTTAGAAGAAGACAGATAACTAAAATGTATGAAGTTTCATAAAATCACTTTTCTATTAATTTATAATTGCAATCTTGGTGATAGATTCTCCATGTTTGACCCAAGTTTTTGCCATATTAGGATATAGACAAGTTGAACTAAGTCAATGATAAGTATTAATAATAAGAGATTATACATCGTCATCGTGTAAGAAGAAAGTAAAGAAAGAGATGATTTTGATGCAGCATGTTACGTGATCTAAAGGTCACGTTCATATATCTATGATATTAGGTAATCGACGAGCCATCTATAAGATGAGCGACGAGTTTCTAAATCTGCTAAAAGTTAGTGGATATATACGTACACTTTGTACTTGAGCTATTCATTAAATCTTACTAATCTCAAAGTTTATGATTTAGACAAAAATTAAACAATCACATTTTTAATAATATTTAAATCGATTGTATCAATTTTGAAAATTGTATCTATTTTTCTCTATAAAATACCATTAACATATAATATATTAGGTATTTATAGCATTAATATTAATTCAGTTATCATAATACACGAATTAAAACCGGAAGAGAAAAATTAAGAAGAATTAAAACTGTCTAAATATGTCATCTACTAAATAAGAAAAATCAACTTACAATTAGATATGATAATATTCGAGTGAAAGCTACATGACTCGAAGTTCGATCGGCAAGCAGGTGTTTTAGTCGCAGGAACAGGTCATGAACAATATGGATCAAGAGAGAACGAAACAGATTTTGACCTCGAATTTGTTCTAAAATTATTCTACCTTACGAAATTATAATGCTGTGCATTCCTCGATGGATATGTGTATGGGACGTAAGAGATTCTTAAATATTTTGCATGCACGTTATGTCATGTTTCGATCTATAAATGCATTTGTGAACATACATAGTTCGATTTCAAAGCATTTTGGTTAAAAGATTTAAATTTGATTACAGTGCTTATGCTATCGTGATAAATCAAAGATAAATCAACAAAAATAAATTGATACTTTTAATTTTCTTTATACCAAGTTACTTTTAAGTTTTATATTAATTTTTATGAAACTGATATATGTATCTTACATTGTTTCTGATCACACGACCACGAGAAACTTCGAATTTTGATTAACCAGAACTAAAAGTCATCTTGCAGATAAATTTTACACGTGCATTTTACAAGTATTTACGTACAATTCTATTGTAAATTAATACACGTTCACTTGAAGTACTTTACATTTCACATTGATACATTCATTAATAAATATTCGAAATAAAAAACAATAGCCAAAATATTTAATTAATTCCACTTTTATGCGTATTATTTAAAAATTGTTTATCACAATCACAGATCAATTAATAAGTCCGATATAACTTACGATAAATAGTATGCAATAATTATATATCTTCTAAAAATTTATTACGTAACTGCTATCAACCTTGTCTAAATTAATGCCAAGTTCTGTCGGTTAGGTAAAACCTATATCATTCGATATCTAATTCAACGTATATTTTTAAACAATTGATCAATATATATATATATATATATTTGTTCTACGAACCTTCATAATATTTCGTATTCAATGCAACGTCTCGATTCAATAAGATGCTCTCATATTATAGATATTGTACCAAAATCATGTGCATTGTTGGAGCTTCACAAAGGTATCCCAAACATACGTTCAATACGTTGGAATACCTGCGAATATAAACTTTTCACAGCTGATATTTCATCTGTCCAATCAACAAACATAATCTAATATCTGGCTTGAATATAATTAACATAGACGACTTACTACAAATCTGCAAATTTATATACCGACAGTTTTGATTGTGTATAGTTACTAGGCTATCGGTCGATAGAACGCCTACTTGGTATCCAGAACTGAGCGTCTCAGCTTTTAAAGGTACGCAAGGTTCTAGCATTCCGAAAGAGATAAATAATAAAAAAACATTTATTCTTTTATGATCATCTATTTAAAATAATCCTCTATTATTACAACAAATAATTATACACGTTAAACACCTGCTTGCCGTTCGAATTTCGCACCGGAACAACGTGAAGTGCTTTAAGAATCATTCAAATATCATATTGTGTACCAAGATCAATCAATTCTAGGTAAGTTCATTTACCACGCACCTGAATTTCCAAACAACGTTTTGAACTGAAACGGAAGAGTGCCATTTTTCTTTATATCCTGGTTTATGGATCCTTCCTCTTTCTTGTTACCGTCACACCGACTATCCAACTGACCACGCGGAGCCTGGCGCCCAACTCAACTAACTGCTCTCTTTGTTCGTCACGAATATTTTTATCGCGCATGCGTACAATAGCAGATGTCCTCAAAGGATCATTTATATCTACAAATCTGCCATATTGCGTTTATAAGAAATGTCAGAATTATTTTTATCATTATCCTTAGTAAATATTTTAAAGAAATTATAGAGTAATATTTACTTAAAATGTATGATAAATTTTAATAGACCTAATTCCATATCACTCGTATACTAAACTAAATATTTTAATATTTTGCTGTTGTTTCAATATAGGGAATTTTGACAATTGGTAATTAATGTCAAATTTAGCGCGTATATTTAAATATGTATTGTGATGTATTTGTGTAAAATATTACACATAGCTCTTACATTTACTATTAGTTACCTTAGCAATATAATTGTTTGTTTATTGAAACCTCTTCTATATTTAAATAATTAACAGAAAATACCAAGTTTATCACATATCTCCAATGATAATGAAGGTCTACAATTCATAAATATCTATATATTAATAAATATAAATATAAATATAAATATAAATTTAAATAAGATTGTCTTATATTACATTTTTTCTATTAAAATTAATAATTACTTATTTAATGTGAAAAAATGAAATCCACAAGTAGTTTTACTTGCAATTATTTCTTGTATAATATTTGTAGCTATTTCTACTGCATAATTGTGTACTTTTTCATTATTATCTTTTATACATTCCAGAGTATTTAAGATAATTTTAGGTACTTTAATATTACAAATTTTTGCCATTTTTTGGAGACATGTGTAATTCAAAATTGGAAAAATACCTGGGATAATTGGAACATTAATTCCAATTTTCTTACAATCATTCACAAATTTAATAAAAATATTTGCTTCAAAAACAATTTGTGTTATTATAAAGTTTGCACCTGCATCAATCTTTAAATAAAATTAATGTTAATATGTTTATTTTAAATATATAAATGAATGATAAAGATAAAATAATATAATTACTTTTTCTTTCAAATAAATTAAATCCATTTCTTTAGATGATGATTCCGGGTGCATTTCTGGATAACCAGCAACACATATACAAAATATATCATCAAATTGATTCCTTATAAAACGTACTAAATCAACTGCATGTGGAAATTCACCATTTGATTTTGTTGAATCTGAAATTTTTTTTCATAAAATTCAAATAATATGGAAACGTAGATGAGGAATTTTATAATAATTCTTAATTACCACCCCTTAAAACAAATATATTACGTATACCACGTTCTAATGCTTTCTTTAATATAATATTTACATCAGTGGGAGTTAAATCGTTAGCTATAAGATGGAGGAGTGTATTATTTGGAAGTACATTAAATACATCTAAAGATAAATAATCTTTCATATCGTTTTTAATATGCCATGTCAGTGTATAAAAAGATGGACGATATTTATTCACTTCTGTAAAAAATCTAATAACAAAAATTTTTATTCATAAAAATATAAATTTATTAAGTATTATTAAATACATAACATACAAACCTTTGATAAAAATCATTATTTTTTACACGCATGATTTCGAAACTACAAGATATAGCATTTGTATTTAATATATCTTTTAATTTTTTTCTTAAATCAATTTCGCGCTTAATATTTGTTAATTGAAAATAATTTGTGTTATGACATTCATTG